AGCTGAGCCCATCAAGTTCTTGGAATACTGGAGGCATGAGGACCGATGGCAGGACAGTCCTGACCTTCAGAGAGGCACAATGTCTAGCACCGAGGATCTAACTCTCCAGGAACCCTCCAGGAAGCTGGGCTCATGTCCATCTGTGCTTAGCAGCCCTCATCTCTCACACATCCCAAGGGCTGTCTTCTTTTTTCTTTCTTTTTTGGCCTGGGGAAAATACTTTCCTCCAAATTTCTTCAAGACACACAAAACTCCCTTGCCTCTTTAACAAAATTAAACAAATCACTTTTCATAAAAAGCAAGCCAAAAAAGATTTCTTGGTGTTCTGAGCCATGCTGAATGCCTCCACCAAGGCAAGCAGCAGAGAGCCAACTTGTGCAGGGAGAGAGGTGAGTGAGAGAAAACAAACATGTGCATCTCATCTATGTCACTCAGACACACTTGATGAACATATGTTGACTCTCCCTTCCATCACCAGGGCTGTGGTCAGTGGTGGTTTCCTTCTTGGTAAATGACATTGTTTAAAAGACACATCAGAATAAAAATTTCTCATTTCTTCCTGTCAGTCCCTTAGCACATGTACATCTCAGCAGCCTCTGTGTACTTTTGTCCTCTCCATTCCCTCCATTTCTCTTGCCAGCCTGCCTTACACATCCAGAGAAGTCACTGTCCCAGTCAAGAGAAACAACAGTACCAAAGGAGAGGGGCAGGTGGTCCTGCAAATGCCCCTGACCCAGGTCCCAGTCATAAGATCGTGTGAACGCTTAGTCCCACATCTGGAGGCACCTTTCAGCCTTCCTCTTACTTGGCCTCTCTTTATAAAAAATGGCTACTCCCTCTTCCTTAAGAATTGCCCTTTTTTTTTGGTACTGGGGATCGAACTCGGGTCCTTGCGCTTGCGCAGCAGGCAGTGAAACCACTGAGCTAAATCCCCGGCACAAGAATTCCCCTTCTTGTTGATGTGGTTTGAGTTGCAACTATACTCACCTGGTTTTCCCCTTCTGCTGCCACAGCCCGTCTTTGTCATCAGAGCCTTCCATCTCCCATCTCAGCTCTCTTCTTACTACATGCCCAGCCTCACCAAACAATCTCCACCCCACTCAATGCGGCAGCATCTATTGAAACTTCTCAAATCCACACATTTGCACCTCCAGCATCTCCCCATCTCCCACATAAAGTGAGATCAAAAACTAAGATGAATGCTTAAGGTTACTTTGCCAATTAATCTCAAAATACTCCCCCTCACTTTGAACACAATTATCCCATTGTTCTTGCTGCTTTCTGATGTCTTTATTTGCATTGTTGTGACTACCTCAATGTTCTGAATCAATCCAAAATACTAATCTTTCATGATCATTTTAACTTTGGGAAACAGCCAGAAGTCACACGGTACCAGATCCAGTGAATAAGGTGGATTCCTGCTGTCCTGTTGGAGGGCACTTGGCAGCAGCATTCATTGTTATTTTTCATCACATCTCCTAAAGACATGAAAGAGAACTTCCAAAACTGCTTCAGGAAGTGGCAAGAATGATGAGATTAAGTGTGTTCGCAGTGAGGGGGAGTATTTTGATAGGGATTAATAGTAATGTGTCTTTTATTGTTTTTAAAGCATTCACCATGTATTTCAAACACACCTTGTATATGCACCTGCCTGTTGACTACTGAGTCTAGAAACCAAACATCCAGAAAGAAGATAAGATTGCTAGTTTCCAATATTTGAAAGAGTGTCAGGACCACAGAGCAGACTTGGGCCAAATGGGTAGACTGTAACTCAATACAAGGAAGACTTTTCTAACAAACAGCCCTAGTCAGCAAGGGGTGGCTCCTTCTTATAAGGTAGTGAGCGTCCTGCTATTGAAGTAAGCAGAGAGGATTTGCAAATAGCATAAGCCCAAACTAAGCAACATCCATGCTCTTCCCCAGTCTGAGATTGAGACGTCTCAGCTTCAGAGAGATTCAGATAAGATTTTTTTTTTCATTTTTGTTGAGTACGTAAAATTACAATTCCTTATTATAGGACACTGGTTAGAAATCATTGTAATATTACCTTTCATTCTTTTCATTATTATTATTCTTTTTCGGAGAGAGGGAGGAAGGGAAGGAGGGAGCAAGCCTGGGGAGGGATACAGGGGCTTATACATGCTACTGCTCAGGTACACTTCCAGCCCAATTATTTTTTAAATAATCATGAGGTATTGGCACATGCCTGTACTCCCAGCACTTGGAAGGCTGAGGCAGGAGTATCACTGTGAATTCGAAATCACCTTGGGCTACATACTGAGTTCAAGGTCAGCCTGAACTACATAGCGAAACCCTGTCTCAAAAAAATCAAAAATAAATAACCATGACTTGATCAAATAAACAATCTACATTACAACCTCATTTGTCTTGTCATATTTACACTAGTTTTTAGAGAAAAAATGTACTTGGTTTGAATATAAGGCTTGCACGTTAAAGCAGAGTTATAAACTCACTTGTGAATGTTTCTCTTTTCTATTCTCATATATTGTTTTTAAAAATAGTGAATTTGGGCCGGGGATTTAGCTCAGTGGTTTCACTGCCTGCTGCGCAAGCGCAAGGACCCGAGTTCGATCTCCAGTACCAAAAATAAATAAATAAATAATAAAAATAGCATATTAGTAAAGAATTCTAACTAAATCTTTAGCATTAAACACAAAGACATTTTAAAATCCAATTTTTTAATTTTTTTTTTGGTACCGGGGATCGAACTCGGGTCCTCACACTTGCGCAGCAGGCGGCAAAACCACTGAGCTAAATCCCTGGCCCACACAAAGACATTTTAAAGGCTCTTCAATTACTTTTTTATCACCAGTCTGGGATACATACTACCAGAGAGCCCTAATTCAGACAAGGCAAATTCGTGCACCATTACTGAAGACAACTGAATTTATGCCAATATTTACTGAACATTCTCATGCTGAGCCTGTGGTAGGAAGCAGAGATGCTGAGGAGTCATAGTCCTGCCCTCAAAGAGCTCTCAGCCTAAAGACGGAACAGACCATAAACCAACGATTTCACCAGAGCAGGGTGAGTGCTGTGATGTTTGTCAGAACAGGGAAGAGCAAAGGGCACACTCTACTTCAGAACAGCATCATGTCTCTTTTTTAAATACCTAATTGTAAAATCTACACTAACAAAAATCTATATAACAAAAAGCAAGGGCTGGGGTAGCTTATATAAAGTATAAATATAAATATATATGGAAAATAAATAAATAAATAAATAAATATGGAAAACTGCCTACATTTCTATCACCTAATCAAGTTACTGTTCCATTTATCCATTACCTACTAAACCTTGTCACTTACATATGTGATTTTCTATATATGCAGTATTATCAGAGTAGTTTCACAGCCTACATTTTCACTGATTATGTCATTAGTATTTTTTCATTTCATTATATTTTGTTTTCCACACTCCTACCTGGCCCACTTCGGATTACTGATGTTCTCTGTATCTTTCTCTATCCAATGGAGGAGATACCAGAACTGACCAGCTCCCTCTCCCCTTTTCCTGATTCCTGACATACCTGCATTTCAGCCAGAAAGCCATTCTAGGGCTGTGGACATGGCTCAGCGACTGGTAGAGCACTTGCCTAGCACATGTGAGACCCTAAGTTCAATCCCCAGCACAATATTAAAAAAAAAAATCTGATGTTTTTTTTAATTTTAAGAAAATATTATTTTCTACCCACTTGCTCCCATAGACTTTTTCTCCTACCTGTTTTGCTGAAATAACTAGAAGGGAGAACTGCAAGGATTAACTTCCAAACAGCAAGAGAATCCTAGATCCACAAATCTCCCATGGATCACAGCAGGGGAAATTTGTGGGTATTCTTCGCTCAGCTACTTATGCACATATGTGTCACATCCAGCTTTTTCTTCCCTCCACTGCACATGTATATAGTGTGCATATATGATCTCCACACCATGATTTCTGCTTTCACTCAGTTTCAGCTGCCTCATAACTTCAGCTTACACATGAGCCGACATAACCCTTCAACATAACCTTTGTTTCACCAGTTCTGCCAATCACAAGTACCCAATACTTCTTGGCTCAGTTTTTTGTCTCTCTTGTTTTATTTTTTTTGTTTCAAGACAGGGTCTCACTATGTAATCCAGGCTGGTCTCAAACTTGCCAATCTGCTGAGTACAAGTATATATCACCACTCTAGGCTGTGGCTCGGTTTATCTTTTCATGCCATGCACACTCATGACCTTATCAACTATGACTCTGGGAGGAGGAGGAAAGGGTTGTGGTGATATGGTTTACAACTGCCCCTGCAGTAAAGACGGTGGAAGGGACACTTTCTCTCCCTAGGACTACCTGGGCCATGAGGCCTCTCACAGCCAAAGCTGCCGCCTCCCCTCATATGGCTCTGCCTTGTTCACACATTTTGCAAGGCCTTTGAAAAATAAATGGTTAAATGCTCAATTAATTCCTATGGAATTCATTAAGATTTTGTATTTGAAACCTTTTCTTGATTCAGCTCTGATGAGGAGGGAGGGAAGGAGGCAAACAGTTCCTCAGCCGGTCAAACAGGCCATGGTGACTTACTCTGGTAGACCAAGGTGTGGCCCCCAAATCCTGCTGCTATGCTGCCACACATGCGGGCCAATGAAGAGAACAGCTTGTGTGCACTTAGGTCCCTCTTCTATCACTTACTGTGTGATTTTAGAGAGGTCTTACATTCTTCATCTCTAGAATGAAGTAATTTTTTTTCTTAAGTGATTTCAGGGGCCGGGGATTTACCTCAGTGGTTCTGCTGCATGCCTCGAAGGCGCAAGGTCCTGAGTTCGATCCCTGGCTCCGAAAATAAAAAAATTTTTTTTAATTTTAAAAAGTTAAAAAGTGATTTCATATATCTCTCGTTTAATCTAAATACTTTAATCCTCAAAATGTAATTCAGGTACTTTAAATGAAGGAGTAAGGCTTTCCTCTGAATCACCTAATTAAAAGCAAGAAAAGTAGACAAAGACTATTGATCGCTTTTTCCTATTTTTATTTATAAAGAATACAACCCCTCCTGACCCAGGCACAAATACTCATACATCCCAAGGAGGAGTTCATTAAAACAACAACAACAGAACTAGGGGAAACAGTAAGACCTTATTTAACACAGATCTGTGCAACCCAGACTCTGGAATTACTGAGAACATTGTCTCAAATAGGACATCTCACTTCAAAGACAGGAAGAGAGACTTTAACCTGCAGGACCCACCTACTATAAAGCAGAAAGCTCTGCATTCAATCTTCAGCATCATCAAACTGTCCTGTTTCAAAGACCATCTTGGAATAATGGGGAATCAGTGGAGGAGGGTGGTGCCAACTGGGGTCATAGATCATGTCTCCTTGTGGGGCACAGCACACCCAAGGTTTGATCTCTTGATAAATGCTCCCCTGAATGTCATCAGCATCTGTAGGCAGTTTCAAAAGACACATTAGTGGAAGGAATAAAGGTGAAAACAGATTGCAAAAACAAAAAAATATGTCTAGGGAGCAGATACTCTATTTTGTTTAATAACACAAATGTGTAGACAAACATACACAAACAGTGCTTTTTTCCTAAAGAACTGCAAACACAGTCATTCTGAACCCATTTGTGCTTCTCAAAGGTCTTAGCAGTGGAGAGGAAGCAAGTGGAAAACAGAGCACTTCTGTCTGCAGCTGCTCGATTCAGACAAAGATTTTTGGAGAGACATTTTTTTCCATGTTAAAACAAAGTGACACATTATGGAGTCAACTGCAAACTTTGCAGTTTTTGTTTTGCTTTTTGTTGTTAAATACAAAAAAGAAGCTGTCACGGAAACTTCAGACCTGTAGTGATTATGAGGCTAAACTCATATGTGGACCCCTCTTCCAAACTGCCTTCAAGTTATTCTGGAAAGAGGGTCTGAAAAGGTCTGGCTCGGGACCCCAGAAACTTCACACCTACCATAAGGATTCCCTTGGTCTGCTTTCAACTCCAAATCCCAGTCCTCATTAAAAAGATCAGCAGTCTGTTCCTTGAGTGGACACCGTGTTCCTTCTGACAGCTCCCAGGTATTCTTTTCCACAGCAAAGCCTTCCTCTTTACAATGTGTGTCCTCGCCATGGGTAGGAATGTTATTAGGGATGCTCTGTGCTCCACTGGCTAAGAAATCGATAACAGGAAGGTCTTAAAACTGAAAAACCAGAGAAGGCCTGCTTATGTGCTTGGAAAACATGTGGCAGACTTATTAATAGGGCAGTAACACAGATGTACAGAGCTCTTTAGTCACCTAGGCACTTAGTTTATGTTTCTAGAAGTAGTGTTGGTCATTTCTTTTTGATAAGATGTTTTGTCTTAAACAAGGTCATTGATTGCCATGTCCCACAGTTTACAGAGGGAGTGAAGCCCAGTTTACATTTTCAGGTAATTTGCATATCATTAAGCCAAAGGTCTCTGGCAAACAACACGTTTTCACACAATAAAAGTCTGTGTTAAATTTTACTCTTCAATTCCTCCCTTCAGCCTCGAAGAGCATGTTAGAGGTGAATGTAGGTTTGAAGGAGAGCAGAGGAAATGCAGGCAGAAGAGCATGGCCTGTCTAGTCACAACATGCAGCCTCTGAGTTCCTCTTTCTGACAGAGAGGAAGCTGAAAGATCCATTTTCAAAAGATCTCACAATGGAAAAATGTCTGAGGAAGGACAGGCAGCATGTAGTGCTATGGTACTGCCAGGTCTGTGCTGGGAATGGAATCAGCCTAAAGCAGCTGTTAACACTCTAATAACAGTTATAGCAATTATATCATAGTTTAGAGCAAGAGGCCTAAAACCAGACTGGCTGGGCCCAGCTCTGGTCTGTCAATTACTAAATGTGTAAATGAGCAGAAATTGTAGTTAACTGATTCCTCAGTAACTTAAACTCAGAATTACTATATGAGCCAGCAATTCCACTCCTAAATATATACACAAAGGAACTAAACACAGGCATTAGCAAAACAAGAATGTTCACAGCAGCACCATTCACAATCTCCAAAAGGGGGACGACACCCCAAATGTCTACCCATGGATGGATGGTAAACAAAATGTGACACATTCATGTGTGGAAGTATTCAGCCATTAAAAGGAATGGAGGGCCGGGGATTTAGCTCAGTGGTTCTGCTGCCTGCCTCGCAAGTGCAAGGTCCTGAGTTCCATCCCCAGTACCAAAAAAAAAAAAAGGAATGGAGTGCTGATACATGCTGCAACATGAATGAACCCTGAAAAGAACATGCTGAGTTGAAAGAAGCCAGTCACAAAAAGACTACATATTGTATGATTCTATTTATAGTCAACTCACATTTGCCTATCCAGAATATGTAAGTTAACAGAGACAGGAAGCAGATTGGCAAGAAAGAGAAGAATGGAGAGTGACTACTTAATAGGTGTGCAGGATTTCCTTTTGGAATGATGAAAATGTCCTAGACCTAGTGGTGATGGTTGTACAACAGTCATTGTGCTAAATGGCACTGATCCGTATGTTTTAAATTACATGGTAAATTTATGTATCTTTTACCACAATTTAACATTTTTTTACTTCATGCCTCAGTCTCATCTGTATTATAGCATTGTTGTGAGTTTATTTAAAGAAAGAGAGGGATACTTTAGAGCTGTGCCTGGCATACACTGAACACTCAGTAAGTGCTAGCTGCTGTGACTACACCTATTAGGTGCTTGATCTAGACCAGCACCGTCCACTGGGTCTCTCTTCAATGATGGAAATGCTCTATATTCTGCGCTGTTCAACAGTGCAAGCCAAAAGTGACTATGGAGCACATGAAATATGCCCAGTGTAACTAAGGAACTAAATTTCTCATTTTATTTTATAATAATTAAATTTATCTAGCATCAGTGGCTAGCGGCAACTGTACTGGAAAGTACAGTTCTAGATCCTCCTCTCAATCCTCAGAAAGCCCTAGGACAATGATGGTGAACCTGTTAGTTATCAATGACACAAACAGCCCGCTGCGGCACTCATGCCATAGGTTCACCACCACTGCCATAAGAGACAGGTATAATCAGCCCCGTTTTAAAGGTGAAGAAAGGCTAAGTGACGTATTTAAGGGCAAAGATACTCCGACCTGGGACTGAAACTGAACACAATTTTGTTTGCCTCCAAAGCCTATATTCTTTTCACTGTTCCAAGCTGTTTCTCTCTATCAAAGGGGTGGTTATGGAAGCACAGGATGTCCCTTAAGGAAGCTCCAGTGGCCTTTCCAAACAAGGGCACTACTAAAACACTGGGCAGAGAAGGCAATTCAGCAGCAAAAAGGATCACCTTCAGCACTTAGAAGGCTGAGGCTGGAGGATTGCTGTGAGATCGAGGTCAACCTGGGCTACACAGTGAGTTCAAGGCCAGCCTGAACTACATAGCAAGACCCTGTCTTAAAAGAGGACTGGCTTGGGGCTAGGAATTTAGCTCAGTGGTTCCGCTGCCTGCCTCACAAGCACAAGGACCCGAGTTCGATCTCCCGTACCAAAAAAAAGGACCAGCTAGAAAGGTAAACA